GTGTGCTCTGTCTGTAGTTACCTATAATCTCTTATAATAACCTAAGTTATTACTATAGTTCAGATGACACCTGTAGGACCCCTTTCCAAATGGTACCATCATGTGCCTAAACACACGTTCTCTAAATTGGGTGCTGGTACTGTTTTTGCATAGAGTACTGCCCAAATTTTCCTCAGGAGATGAACTGCTATGTCAGTAAAAACAACGTATGCCTACAAACTGAAGTTTCAGAGAACGGAAAAGCCTGGATGCAAAATTTTGTCAACATATAAAGGCCATTCTTGAGTACTTATCCCTAAGCACGTAACAGATCTACCAGTTGCAAGCATTTATTCATCTGTAGGGGAAGTGTATGGGATCCCCCTCGACTTGGGTGTCGGCTCTTTTCCCCAAATAACAAGTGATAGGATGAAAGGAAACGGCTTCCAGTTGTGCCAGGGGAGGTTTAGACTGGATATTAGGAAAAATTTCTTCACTGAAAGGGTTGTCAAGCATTGGAACAGGCTGCCCAGGGAAGTGGTGGAGTCACCATCCCTGGAGGTATTTAGAAGACGTGGACGTGTAGACGTGGCACTGAGGGACACGGCTTAGTGGTGGACTTGGCAGTGCTAGGTTAATATTGGACTTGATGATCTTAATCTAAATGATTCTGTGATTCTATGACTTTAGAAATGGTTTGCGTGCCAAAAGCCAGTATCTGCAATATTTCACCCAAAACAACAAATCTCATGTCCCTGGAGAGAAAAGGCTGTTCACTTTATTATACCAACATTAAGTATTGCAACACTCAACACACATGTTGTTAATACATAAACTATATTGTTTCAACTGTATCCTCCTCATTCCCCACTATTCTAGCTGTGCTGCTATCAGCTTGCTTAATTTATTGTAAGATATAAATTCCTTATTATCGTTAGTTACTTTTTAGGTACTGTAAACATTTGTAAAGCTAAGCAATAAAAAGCAAATATTATTGTGATATTATTAAAATAAGAAGGGGGTGAAACAAACACATGATAATTATGAAAGACACTGCGTTATGTTTGCACAACTTGGGTGTATTTTTAGGACACGGTCTGTCTTAGTGACAGAACATACAAGAGGGAAGGAGTTTCTGAGTGTTACACTAAGTTCTTCTGTTGGTTTTCTAAATATTCTGGACTAAAGTCTCTCTTGCAGTCTTTCTTATAAAACAGAGAAAATATTTTTACATCCCATGGGGTTATTGTGAGAATTACTAATCTGGTACATAGATAATCCCCAGCAAATAAAAATGCCGCTAGTCATTGTTGGTGTTACCTGTTCCTCACAGCTTCTGTGACAGGACAGCTGACTACAGCCCAGTGGGCGTATCACCAGTTGTCGTGGGGACCACCTCTATATTTTTGGACAGGCTATCAAATAAGTAGAGAACAAATAATTCATGTTTTTTATGTTCAACTGCAGCTTACATAGCACGGTTTTAATAGAAAAATGTGTTATGTGCCTCTTGTAGCCTCACTCTAGCTGAAAGCATGCTGAAAAGAACTGGCTTGATGTGCAACTTCTGTGAAGTGGTGCTGACAGAAACAAGGGTTCGGCTTTAAAACCAGAAACATAGGGAAAGTGAGTGCCTTTGCTAGGTATCCTTCCGTGTTTGCAAACACTTGGTCCGCAATTAAAACAAGGAAAGACTTTATTATTGGCTGAGGAAAACACAGTAACATAAGTAAATAAGTGAAATATCCACACCCATCATATCTCTGGCAGTGGTTCTTTAGTTCACTTCCCTACCAAGTGGTGCCAAAGTCCAAGGAGCTAACATCCCTTTAACTCTTTGCTTTCTCCCTTTTCCCTCTGCAACGCTATAAACGGTTAATGTATGTTCAGGATGAACTTGGCTGATGTGTCTCCAACCCCTATAGGAAGCGCGATCTGATCTGGTCCACCTACCCCGGCAATAGGGATTTATTTTTATTGCCATCATCAGGCGTCCCCCACCCCCAGCTTCAATCCCGATTTCCACGAGTTCAGCGGAGAGCCAGAAGTAAATACCTTGCCCGCACTGTAAACCTGCCGGTGTGCCACAGCTTCGGAGTGGGCTCCCACCACAGAGGCACTGCGGCAACTTGTTCAACGAAAGCTTTAGTAGACAAGGACAGCAGCACCCCAGATCCTTGCACAGGGCTCTTGTCATATCAAGGGTGTACCCCAGCACGGGATGTGAACCCTTTCCTTGTCCCCATCTTCTCAGTTAAATCCTATCTTCTACCCATCACAAGCTCACTTATACTTTTAGTAGTTCCTAACAATATTTCTTGGAGGGTTTCTGTGTAAAAAGCTTTTAGAATTAAATTCTCTGCATATTTCTTCATTCGCCCAGAGCTGGCAGGAGAGTTTCTTCCTTTGAAAGGCTGTTGCCCAAGCCGGTGGATCCCCTTCCCAGGGTCACCGACAGAAAGCAGACTCTTCCCAGCCCCACAGCCCGTCCGCTCTGCCTTTTCACTCGGACGGGGCGGGAGTCACTGTCCTCTCTAGCTTCGCACCAGTGAGTTTATATATAGTTGAGCAACTCTGGGCTTTCGTTTAATTGTGTCGTGTATTTCATCTTCATGGGTATATAAGACTGTTGATGGTTTAGATCAGGTGATAAAAAGGCCAGTTTAAAAAAAAGTATTATATAGATGCTTGTTATGGCAAAACCCAGTGGAGGGTCTTCTGTTGGTTATTGAACTGAGGAAGCAGATGCCTGAGCCGTTTCCCTCCCTGGAGCTCCAGCAGACGCAGGACTTAGCAGTCTTTTGGAGAGCGCTGAGCTTCACCTATGGCCGGTGACCCTTGGGAGCCACGCTGCCTTCCTCCCCTTTCACCTGACTTCTGAGGAAGGACGAACTGAAGTTATGGGTCGACTTACAGACGACATTTAATCCCTCACGGTAGCTGAACGCGACACCGCATCCCTTACAGCTTTTGAGAGGAGAATCACCACCACGTGCTGCTGGGCAGCTGCCATTTTCCACCCCAAAGGCAGCCCCATTTCAGCGCCCAACAAGCTTGTTTCCCCCCGCATGTGCTGGGGTGGCACAGCGGGCTTCTCGGGGAGGGAAGGCACTGCGCAAGCGGGGATGTAACTGCCACATTTTCTGTCACGTTTTTAGTCGTCGAAGCGTGAAGTGGATGGTGTCTGGGTTTGCACCTGGAGCTCGGTGCTAAAAGGCTCGGCCGAGATAACCCTGGAAACGAAACACCAGGCAGGGCGCCGCTTCCCCTGCCCTTCGGCCCGCCGGCCTTAATGAAGCTTTTTTTAATGAAATGCGTAATTGCTGGGGAGACGAGCCGGCGGGGCGGCTGAAGGGAACCGGGCCGGGGGAAC